AGTCGCGTTCTCAAGTTCGCCAAGATCCAGTTCGAAAATGAATTTTGATCTTTCCAAGTTTCGCGTCTAGTGGCGTTCTTGAGTAGTCGCAAAATACAGTTCAAAAATTAATTTAGATCGTTTCGAGGTTTCGCGTAAAGTCAAGTCCCAAAAAACGTTCTCGTGTGGCTGTGTGCTTTTGTACCGTGGAGTCCACAGTGCGTCATTCGAATACAGATTTTATTCACGTTCCATGTGCTACACGCCAGATTTTTGCTGTTTTCCACAACAAAACGGGTGTAGTAGTCCTATACAAAGATAGTACACGCTCCACGCTGTGGAAATCGCAGAGTTTGCTGTTTCCTAAACCCACTTCACGCACCACACTGTGGCAAGAAGCAGATTTAGAAGCACAGCTGCTTCCAAAATGCTAGAAAAACAGTGCAATCGGGGTCACTGCACGCCTTCCGTTGTGATGAAATGTAAATTTCCACTTAGTAAGTTTTGCGATGAAGCAATCTACTACACGCACCGCACTGTGTTGGAAGCAGATTTCCAAGTACCATTCCTCTACACTAAAAAAAAACACCATTCCTCTGCACTTGAACGCACTACGCTGTGGCAGGAAGCAGATTTTAAAGCATGGCTGCTTCTAAAAAAATGCCAGAAACAGTGGCAATTAGGGTCACTACATGCCTTCCGCTGTGATGAAATGCAAATTTCCGCAAAGTGAGCTTCGCGGCCCAAGCTGAAAGAATCAATCAAATTTACGAAACACGTCCCATCTTTCTGCGTCAGTGGCGTAATGGTTTGCTCCATGCGGATCAACCAGGTTCCGAAACAGTTGTGGCAACTGCTCTTGCAGATGCTTGTGCATGGCTTTTCGCATCATTGCCTTTCTCTTGAATGGACATTCGAGTTGACGAGATCGGCACTGCGAACGATTTTTGTTGCAGCTAAAAAGACCATGCACAACACAGACTACGCCAAGAAATAGACAGGATTTCATGTTGCTTTCAATGGCTGCATCACTGATCTACCTTACATTCTTGGACTGTCCTGGCCGACTCTGGTGCGTAGAGCTACAAAGCTGCTTGAATGTGTGGAACAGCTTCGAGATGCACGTTGAGGTGCTGTTTTTGGCCAGTGGGGTCTTCCAAACAAATTAAGGAAACTGCAAGAAAAGAAAATTTGATAGTGCACTCTTCCTTGGAGCCTGAACTGTCCCTGGCAAAGGATGTGGCGAGATAGATTCGCAACTTCGAAAATGCGGCATGCAAACTAACTCTTGACTTTGTGGGCTATTGTGCAAGGGAATTCGATTTTGAATGGCCAATTCTTTAATTTGGTAGAAATCTGCAAAATCAATTGGAAAGAAAGCAGGCTGCATGTTGCCATTGTCGGTTTTCACACGTGAAGCACGTTTCAGTGTGTCTTGCAGATCCCGGCATCGAGTTTGGAGTTTTGGCGGTGATGATACAAGGATCGTTGCGGATCGATCTTTGAAAAGGCCTTCTGTTCACCGCGAAAGGCTTTGCCAACTCGGAAGAAAACGTCGAAGGGCAAATGATTGCAGTTCGATTTTTCGCATGAGGCACGTCTTACATCCTTAGCACTCTAGAAAGCAACATTTTCACGTCGATATAATCTTGGATGTGGTGCTCTGAAATCTATTTCTGATTGGAATGTCTTCTCATGATTTTTCATGAAGCCAATCAGCCGTTAGCCGTAAGTTTCCATATTTTCGCTGCCGAAGCGGTTCTAACCCGGAGCCGCAAGCCTGCTTCCAGGGTGACTGTTCCGAAGGCATGGTGATCGTAACTCTCAGGGCAGCTGGACATGACTCTGTCAAGTCCCTCATGGTAGTGCTTCGTGGAACACGTGCACGTAGTACGACGATCAAAATGTGTGAGTCACCAGCAGTGAGCACGCACATCCCGGACAGTGTCATGGAGCTTCGATGGAGTTGGCTGCACCGAAGGCGATGTTCAGATCACCTGTTGCTTCGACGTGTGCCTCCCTCTTTGGCTGGGTTGGTTCCGCCGACGCTCTTCAGTTTCGGGTTCGTGGGTTGCGGTAAAGACTCGGGCTTGCAAGGTGAAGGGACCCGAAGGGGTCAATCTGACCCGGGCTGCCATAGTTGTAAAGATTGCTGCAAAGCATGTGCAATGCATGCACAGGTGTGTGGAGTGTAGAGATGTTTGCAGACGCCTTGCAGATGTCAGAGATGTCATGGGGATCCATGGAAGCATTGACATTCCATAATCTGGCAGGCCGTTCCACGAGTTCACGCGCTCGATGCGTCGGTGCATGCCTGCAGTTCAAAGGCGGCATTCATTGTGAATCTGTATGTTAAGACATCCACGAAATGGACTTGTCACAGTCTGGGAGGCAACCGCTTCCGCGACATCCACAGTCTGCACGAGCCAGTCTCGTAACCGTCCCAGGGGATGATTCAGCAACGGTGGCGAAGTAGCGATGAGTGGAGAGTTTCTCAGGTGCCCAGCACAGTCTGTGTCCTGTCGTCGTCGGGGACTCGCCAGGGCAGGCTGAAAATCGAACAGACTCCTGCTTTCTCACTCACAGGATGCTTTGTCCACGACTCCCTCAGAGGCCGGAGCTCCAAGTGGAGTTTGATGCATTAGGGTTTTGCCATTCGCGCATCTTTTCGGAGCGGTGTCAGGCAGCAAAGAGGCAGAATGGGCTATATGCTGCGACCTTGGATTTATCCTCAAAACATGAATACTGTCCATGACCGGTTGTATTGAAAGACAAATGTATCATGCCCAGGACCTAGCTCAGAAATTGAGCGAAAAAGTCGTGAGCCTGGTGTGCAGACAAGTCGCCATGCGGCCATGAGATCACATTGCAAGTCTTGCAGTTGTCCGCAGCATCACAGATCAATAGCACGGATAATGCGAGCAGATGGCAGACATGCACATCCGCGACCTTTGCACGAGCTGACCCGACGACCGGAGTCAAGCATGCATAGACAATCCATGACAGGGCCATGGATAGCGGCTTCAAGGATCCGCCAACCCAGGAGTTGCTGGCACTTTTGCCACCGCTACCTGTCTCGGACTCAGTGCGGCCTTTCCACCGTCGTTCCCTGGCGATGAGTCAAGCTCAACCTCAGAACATGCCTGACCTTTGAGGAGCCGAACAGATGGGAGATGCGATCCGAATCGGCATGTGGATGTGGGCTAGTGTGCTGTACTGAGCACTCTCTGAACGGCACGTCTGGCGAACTCTAATGAGGCAAGGAAAGCATGAGACAGGCAGCACTGCTGAAAGCTCAGGTTGGGATTGATAGCAGTTCTGGTCACTGCGACGCGTCACATGACTGCCAAAATCGCTGGCCATGTGAACGAGGTTCGTCATAGATGCCACATGTAGCAAGACTCCAGAGAGCAATCTGTGCAGGAGAGTGCCGGTTTTATGTAGTCTCAACTTCAAATGATGTATTAGGTTTTAGATTGTGGAGTGTGATCTTCAGCTAAGCACCACAGGTTTCTGTGAAGTTCTACCCATTACTTTGTTCATGGCCGGTATGCTTGGAGAGTCAGTTGGCTGGCTGGTTCAAACGAATATGATCGCGAGTGTTTTGTTTCGGAGGCGGTGCGGTCAACTTTGTTCTATGCGATCCATGTGGAGGAGCCGCGGAAGCTCGTGTTTGTTCAGTGGTGTGTGAACTGAATGTACTGGCGGTGCAGGCTATATTGGCCATGGTGTGCCTGCTTGGCTTGATGTGGGGTGATGGAGGCCCTCCGTGGGTGCATTCTGCTGGCCATGGATACTACTCTCCAAACGAAGGCGTCGTCCAGCGATCGCGAAGGACATGCTTTCCTGTTCCGCCGGCTGTACTGGCAGCCTTGCAGGCTGGACCAAGGTGCTGCAAACTGGAAGATAGACTGTTCTCAACATTTGCTGCAATTGCTCGTTATGAAAGTTATAGGTAGTCCTGCAAAAGATGATTTTTCAGAGGCTGTTTACAAAGGGCCATGGCTTGCACTATCGATTTTGGTTGTCTTCTTGGCAGAGTCTTGGTATAGATTGGTGCAGAGTGCAATAAACGCTGATTGGTTCACACTGTCGTGTATCCCAATCGACTTGGAGATGTTGCTGTGGGAGGTGGCAGCGACCTTTGAGCGAAGAGCGTCACCTTTGTTGCCAAAACCCCACTGCACCTACTCGAGACTCGTTGGGTCGTTGAGATGTCCGCTCATGCAATCTATCGTGCCGGCCGACCTTGGCCCACATGTCTGCTCAGGAGCGTAGCATAGAATAATGGAAGACGTTTTCTTCACGAGAGTGGGGACAACGATAGCGCCGAGACATTTCTGTTATTTACAGGTTGTTTCAACTTTCAACAAGGAGCCACTGTTCCTTTCTCTGTTATTGAGTACGATGACGTCTCCATGCCGAGAATGCTTTCTTTCTTTTTGATTTGAACCGCTTCGCCATTGAAGCAAAGCAAGAGAGCTCTGCAGATGCTGCAAAAGCTGCGAACGAATGAAGACCTGCTCTAGGAAAGCTTGGATTTAGCTCTCAATGTTTGGTTGGTTGGTCCCGTCTGTTTGTGAATTGAGACTCTTTGGCAGTCGAATGCTACTCAGTTAGGCAAAGCTTTGTATAGGTTGTAGCGTGCTGGTAAATCCAGCTGTCCCCAAGGCTCGCTGCCCAGTTCAACGTTTCATACTGCCGTCCGTTTTGGGATTTGGGACTGCTTATTTGGGAAGCCATGTTGGGGAAGTCCTGTCAGCTTCGTTTCCTCGCGTATGCCCCGCAAGAGGCCGGAAGCTCTTTGGATCACTTCCAGAGTCTGAGCGAAAATAGCTTGCTGGTTGCGGCCTGAAGCCAGGCTTTCTTTGTGTTGACTGCTCAGGAACATTGTTGAAGGAGACAGCAGCTACTGTGTGAGATGCTGCGTGTGGCGGCGAACGACAGAGGGTCGGTCGGTGACAACAGCTTTGCTGTTTAGTCATCGTACATTCTCGTTTGCGTAGCGTCCCACTGCAAGCCTCAGGCAAGCCAACAAGCTCCTGCAGACGTGTTTTCCTTTGCGATAACGGCGTGCACCCAAGACCGATTTCCAGCTCCATGCCAAGCTGTCGTAGCAAGCTGTCAGCCAGTCGAGGCTCAGAGTACAACTTTCACCACTGTTCCGTCTGTCAACGTTGCGTTGGTACCCAAGTATGCAGGCTGTCCGGAAAGGAATCAGAATGAGCACGCACTGCTCATGTCAAGGTATCCAACTTTGATCACCATTGCGGCGTATTTGGACGTTGCATTGCTGGAGTAGGACTAACAGGAAACATGGGTGTCTCGGCGATACATGAGGCATTGCAGCTGGTTAATTATTGCACATGTGTTCGCAACGAGACTCAGTGTGTTGATTTTTGAGCAGCCTGCAGCAGACCACAAGCCGGGGAGATACTACTGCGGTGACACACCGCCACCACGAATGCGCTGCCTGCGAAGCGTAAGGATATCACGGCTGTGACAAAGCGCAGCATCAAAAGGTTGCCAGATCCCCGTCCGTAACACCGAAGTCATTGAAAGGGCCAATACATTGGCATTCGCGGAGTTCATGAACCGGGCTCCCGCCACAGTCCAGTGCACAGTTTTCCCACGCTCATAATGCTTTCAAAACCCTTCAAGACGCTCGAAGGGCTATTCGGCTTCTTGGTGCTCCATGGTGTGGTCTCGAAATCTCGCCGATTTAATGTTGTGATGGAAGTTTGCAAATTTGGCAATCGGCTCCCACCACTTCCGCTACAGTCACGCGCATTCCCGCGCATTTGCGCTGCTGTATATCGTGCTGCCAGATGCTCTTGCACTGTTTGGGGCCTGCAGGCGGTATAGCCAAACGAAATCATGTTTTTACAATCTTCGGCAGGGCTTGCATTATTGCCAGGCACCCTGCATGCCTTGAGAACGAGTTGGTGGTTCGAGGTTTGGGTCCGGGTTGTGCATTGCAGAGGGATAGGCTTATACTTCTTTGCTGGTATGATTCTCACGATGTCGTTCACTGGTTTCGACTGCTGACTGTGGTGGCGACTTGTTGTGACGTGGACTGAGTGTCCAACGCCTGTGAGGCTTCTTCATTGGCATTATTCTACTTGGCTTGGCAGGGGGCTTGACCTGCTTTGCCAGTGTATTTCTCGGTCTCATCTACCAGGAGCTTCTGCTTCCAAACCACAACGCAAGTCGCTAGTGTGCGAGCATGTGTGATTGAGACTGTGAAACTCTGAACGGCAGGAGGATGGCTTTCTGCTGTCAGTCATAATGCTGGCTTATTTCACGCCGATGTTCCTGGGATGCTGCGTTTTTCTGTGCACTTGGGCTTGATACATGTGGACTCATGTAGCAGTACTAGGATCCTTGACGCTGCATACGCGGACCAAGGCAGCATGCTGTGGCCAGAGCTCCTTGACGAGACATGTGCGAGGAAGTGCTTTGTATGTCGGTCTTGTAATGCGGAATTCCCCGAGGCGAGGCTGCAGCAACCACTGTCCGAAAAGGGATTATGTCAAAGTGCTCCAGGCAGGATGTGAAACAACTGTGCTGAGTTCTGAGTTCGAGATTTTCCGCAGATCGAAAGGTGAATGCCGCTGCCACCACTACTATTGGCTCACCAGCAGACCTCGAGATGAGGGATGTGCGTGATGTGAAAGTGTCGTAAAAGGGGAGCATGGGATTTGCCGCACGCATTGCCGAAGCCACAGGGGGAAGAAGGCTAGAACGTCTTGCAATCGGTTTCACTCAAGCGCGAGTGTCCGCGTGGCGTTCTGAGGTTTGTCAGCTGGAGGACGGGTTCACCTTTTAAGACCTGGTTTGCCCAATGCCGCAAGTTCGTGTTGAGAAGATGAAGGACGAGGTCCTGCAGCTTCGAGAAGAGCGTGATGTGCCGTATTCCCAAGCACGCATGCTCGACTTTTTGTATCGGTGGACACTCAGGCTGACTGCTGAAAATGGCGTCATCTCTGAACACATCCACACTTTGCAGAAGGACGCTGCAGTTCAGGTGACGCCATCTGTCAATGTTGAGTCTCCTGAATGTTTACCTCCAGGAAAACAGCCTTTTGCACACAAATGGCCGGCTGCTGACTTACAGCTTGCCAACGCTTGCTCTAAACCCCGTTGACAGTTAAAGCCGCGTGGCGCATCGCTTGTGGAGCTCTCGCCGAGTGGCTCGGATTCTCACGCCATAAGGGTCGTCGGTTTCATTGAGTGAATTTGACTGAATGTTCTTACAAGCCATTGGAAATACTCTCAGTTCAATGTGCATCGTCGCCCATCTCCTCTACGCCGTTTCCTTATCTAGTCTTGATAGGTTGCCTGGCCTTATGAATTATGAAAGCTGCAACCGTTCATGTCGGTCTAGCTTCTTGCAGTAACGGAATGTACTTTCAGAGATTTCGGTCCAAGAAAGCGTTTGGGAAGGGACCTTGGTTGCACCGTTGTTTTGAGCAGCTCGTTTAAACAATGAATCAGAATCTCTTCGCTTCTCGCGAGACAGAACGGTGATGCAGGGAAGAAGTTCCGAGTCTTGTTGTTTGATCATCGCGAGATCTGTTCTCGGATCCCAGCTAGCGCAGATGAAAAAGGCATGGGAGCACTACAGGCGAGAGCAAAACTTGGCACATGATAATGTTGCAAAGAAATCGAATGCTCCGGTGGTCTACACAGGCATGACATGGGGCGAAGAGCTAGGGGTTCCCCGGTTGCGCGGGGCAGCTTATCTAAAATCTAAAACACTATGTCCCCGAGGGGGCATGGGTGGCCGAACTCGTGCAAGGTCAGTTCTACGGCTTATGTGCAAAACTGCAGACAGATTCCGGCGGACACGAGGCTTTCACGAGATTCAGTGGTCCAGCGTTTTTTCAAGGAGTCGCATGTGCACTCAGGTCGTCGGAAGTCGGTCCCGACCAAGAAGTTAAAGACGTATCTGGTGAGTCCAATAACAAGCCTGGGAGAGATTGGTTATGGATCGGGACGCACGGACTTCGTTGCGGGGTTTTTCATGGTTCACTTTCGTGAGGCTTTGGGCTGCTACGAAATGGGGAGACATGCCAGGTGCCATCCCAGACCAAGCACAGGACGCACAAGATTGATGATGTGTTGGATTTCGTCTTTCAGAGGATGCTTGGCTAATGCTTGGTTGCCTGAAAGTTGCTGGCTGCAAAAAGGGTTCATACTCTTCGTCAGGATGGAGACGAGTCGGCAAGTGTGATTTCGTCTTGTCAGGGAAAGACTGGAGTGCTACCCGCAGGCTGCCGCGATGGCCACTGCATTGTCCAGAAGCCACAAACCTCTGTACTGAGGCAACTTCGCACGCCGGCCCGAATTGGGAACAGCATTCGTTACTGCTGATCAGCGACGACTGCTTGGGATTCTGGACGGAGCAAGTTGTGAATGATTTCCAAAGGCGTGCTGGTGTGAAGCATGAGCCCAGATGTCTTCGAGGATTGTGTTATCGCGGCATGTGCCATGAATGAAGAAGCGCAGCGCAAGGTGGCCCTGGTGGGACAATGTACCGCGTCTGTATCAAATCTCTGCAATACGGGCAAGTGTGGCGGATGCACCCTGCATGGGGTGGCTGGTGTGGCGTGCCCGGATTCCTTATCGTGTCCGTCTGCCACCCCACATTGATTTTCCATGCACTCCGAATTCTCCGAATATCATTTCACGCAGTGCGTCGAAGGTGGCGCTACAATTTCCCACATTTGTGGGAGCGGGGGTTGTTGCATTGTGGTCTCGATGCTTAGCACTTCGCGCTGAGGCTGCTTTGATCCTGTCCTCCTTGATTTTTCCAACCCCAGTTCAACCCGAGCGGGATGTTCACGGTTCTCGAGGGCTGAGCTGGACGTTTATGCCAAGTGTGTGCCGTGTGCTTGCAAGTGAAGATCCTTCTCTGCGTGCCTCTTTCTGCAAGACGCACTACGACCTGGACGCTCAAACAAGTCGCCTCTGGACACCGAAGATTGGGGCCAACTGCAAGTGGCCCTGGGCAGCTCGGGGCACATCAGGGTTAAACCGTCATCCACGGAAGTGCCTGCTCTGAAGAGCATGAAGGACCTAAGACGCCGGGCAGTTCTGATGTGGCATCATTTCGTGTTTATGTACTCTTTGCAGCGGCTGAGCTGGAGTAAAACCGTCGGTTCTACGAATTCCACGTTCGGCACAAACTAGCCGAACGCCTGAACCAAGGCATGGACGGTGGCTAAGCATTTGGGGAAAGAAGTACAAGTCCGCTTCGCCTGGTCAGAATGATGTCACTGACAAAGGGCATGGCGTCGTGCCAGGTGGTCGGCAGATTTGCTTCCAGAATACAGCTTCGCGTTTGCATTTTGCAGGATTTGCTTCCAAAGATGTCGGGTGTACAAACATGGTCAACTCGTGGCATCTGCGGAAAAGGTTTTTAAAATCGTGACTTTCATAGGCGGGCCCTCGAGGATACCATGCCCGGGGAGGCCACCGCTGCTGTACGTTTTTGCAGGCTCGGAGCGTCGCAGTGGGCTCGGGCAGTGTTGAACAATGTTGCGCAACGGTTCAATGTGGATCCTCTGATCGTGGAGTTCGATACTTGCGAGACGTGTCTGCCCACTTCACACAAGACAAGCTTCTCGAGGGCATCGCGAACTTGGTTTTGACTTCATCTTCGCGTCGCCTCCATGCAACGCTTGGTCACGCCTTCTACGGCGGAGCAATTCTTGGGGCCTTCGACTCCGACCCGTACAGAAATCGAGACTTTGTCTGGGGATTCTGTTGGCTACCATTGGTCACTGGAGTTAGGTAACATTTAGGTAAAGACTCGTTTGTGGGTTGTGCAATTATTGGATGCGAAAGGTCTTCACGCTCTGATTGCGTTCGTATCGGAGGGTCCTGAAGACTTAAGCCGCGGTTTTTTTGCAGCAGTCGTGGGTCAGACCCGGTTCAACTTGGCATGTGCCACAGCCGAGAGCTCTTTGCAGGTATCTGCTTCTATTGCTGCATTTCCACCATGCCCTGGCGAAAGAAACCTTGGGTATCGGTGCCGGATTTCCCTCCAGCACAACATTGCGGAGAGCAAGTCAAAACTGATGCGTTGGAGGAAAGCTCTTCCGCTGTGCGTTCTTCCTCAGCCGACGGGTCAATCGGGCCGCGGGCTCTTGTGCGCCATGTGCCGTGCAGACTCGTCCTCGGCCGATGAGCAGCGTGTTCCTATGAAGGATTTGAGTGAAGCTGAAGCGGCTGAACATCGTTCGCTGGTTCATCGAGGTGGGGATATGTCTGGTACAAACGCGGAGACTGTCCGACTACTTTGCTTGGGTGGCACAAGGGTCACTACAAAAGGCTGGCAGATGGGCAGGAATCGCTCTGGGATGCGACTCGTACCGAGTGCAAAGGCTGCCGGCGAAGTCCATTCATGTGTGCAATCCGCATTCAATCTTACTCATGGTGTGGGACAGCAACGCCTACTGAAAACTGCGGCCCTCATTTGTCTAAACGAGCCGTAGTCTGGCCCTCTCGTTCGGGTGTATCCCTGGAACTGGGGACTCTTGTGTCAAGATTCAGGGGTTGGAGTTTACGCGCAGCTACCTGGCGACTGTTCACACGGAAGGTTTTCCGACAGGGGTCAATGGCGAGCTGCCACGATTGCCTGATCGAAGAACATGGCAAATAATGTGTTTACGACCCTCTCGGGATTTGGGATGACGAGGAGCCTTCCGGAAAAGCTATTCGTCGGCAAAGCAGACGCGATCGCACGTGACGGATGACGTGGCAAAGAGTATTGGATGTTTGCAATGAGCAGGTGGGAGGCGTTCCGAAGATTCGAGTGGTCAGATGTGCCACAGGGCAATCGGATGGCGCTGGTTTTCGATCGGCTCACTGCCTCGTCCCCTTAAAGCCGGAGCGCGGGCGCACTTGAAGGAGGCCAGGAAACCCGGACCGTGTTCCTCAATGTTCCTATCCTAGACACGTGTGGCACATTTGGCATCGTCTCTGCCGCTTTGTGCTGGGCACATCGTTGGCGCAGCATTCTGTCCTTTGTATCATTCGTCTCCGCTGACTCTACTGCTTTATGCTCTCCTCTGCCGTAAGCTGACGATGCCCATGTCCTGGCGGGGGTGATAATATGGTGCCTCTTTCCGATCTTTCATGTGGACCCCTTGAATTCGTCGCATTCCTGGAGGAAGACTCGGGATGGACACAAATTTTCTTGGACCAGCTGTTTCTTCGGTCTGGACTTTTGGATGCTTGGGGTATCAAATGAAACCGTGGCATGGGTTTCATTTTGGCTGTCACCTACCAGTGTGCGCAGCGGCGGGCGGTGAGAGCCGTCCGCCCAGTCTTATAGCTCCGGTCTATGCCAGGGTGTCACGGATCTCACAGGGAACCTTTGCACAAACATTATTTTACGTGATGTTGGCTTTGAAAATGGCACTCCTTGAGCACCACCCGCCAAAATCGCTTAAAGCATTGCCGCGTCCTCCGCAATCTCCGCAGTCGGTTGGAAGCGACGTGTTTCGAGCGGGCGTTGCGGCCAACGAGGACGTTGTCGGCATTAGAGATTGGGAGACATTCCACACCATTGACGCCAGTGTCGCACGGCGGCTTTCACTGAGGTTAAGTCGCAAAGACTCGCCGTGGCTCTTCGTGAAGGGCGCCCCATTTCGGGTGAAAACGTCTGTCGAGCTTCTTGCTACCTGTTTATCGTTTTCTTTGAGAAGGATTCGAGCACCAGGTGTCTATAAACCGAGCCCCATTTCCGGTGCACGGCCAACTTGTTCACGGCATATGTTGTGGATACATTCATGTCAAAGACTCTCGCTTTCAATTTTGAGGGAGTTCACTTGCGCTAATAGTGACCCCAGTAAGTCCCAGGAACCAGATGGGTGTGGACATCATGGACGTGTTTCCTTTCATCATCTTGCATGAGATGTACTTGAGGTCTTGGAAAAAATGCATCATTTTATGTTCCTCCCGAGAAGAAGCCTCGCGTCTAAGTTCGCACGGTTGTCTATCGTGGCTACACCTGGCAACGACATCGTTGGGGGTTGATCTTTGAAGCTTGTCACTCGACATGCAGATGTGGCGATGCAGATTCAGATGATTAGATCGTGGGAGGGTAAGGGAATCTGAATGGAAAGGCAAGAAGTATCGGTCGATCCTTGCAACGTCGGAATGTTCTTTGAAGGATTTCGCTCCAAGAAGGCGTTTCCCGCCCGGCAAACGGATTCTCATTGAAGCCTGCTTTGAAATTCAAGTGGCGACACGGATTTTCTGATCAATCCAAATGTGCGCCTACAGGCTACGCCATGTAGTACGGAAAGATTTTTTCGGAGTGGCAAGAAGCCTCGCTTGCCAAGGTAATTTTTCGAGTATCGCGAGCCTTTTGCAGCTGAGGTCCTCTAGTGCGGAACATACGCGCTTGATGCAGGCTCCCGGAATAAGAAACCATGCAAAACAAGGATCCGGCTGATGTTGCGTTTGGATTCGTATCAGGCCCATGAGGGTGTCACCGGCGAGGCGCGCGATTGCTGCAGGTGGGTGGAGGGGCTTCTCGTAACTCGTAACCGTGTCGGCAGGCGGCATCACTCCGACAAGAGCTCAAGGTGTTTCAGTGGACTATCGGTGCAAATGTTGCCGTCGCCAAACTCCGAGCAGGCTGTTTTGGAGGAACGAGCTCTCCTTCGCTCTTCAATAGATGCGTTGAAGGCTGGCAATGCCCAGTCCGTGCCTCGAGAAAGAGAAAGACAGAAACAGATCTTGGCTGGTTAAGATTTCCTGCAATTGAGGCTTCAACACTCCGTGCGAGGCGCTTGTCACGAGCCACATGTCTTCATGCTTCCTTGAGTTGTCGGGGGCCAGCACATGAGAGCACTACAATGGCTCTATCATTGCAAGACGTTGAAGTTGAAGACATGCAATCGCAGCCGCTCCTTTTTGAGCGATTTTTGGGCAACAGCTTTCTCCCTTCACGAACCATGCGCCTTGCCAAATCGGACACCCTCGAATATCCTGTCTCTGTAAACCAGGAAGGTCGACAAATGCACGCATACATCCGCCGATTTTCTAGCGAGCCTCAGGTGGAATCGTTCATCCTTCCACGGAAAGAAACACTTGCTTTGGGCCTGGGTTTGGTGCCCTGGTGTACTTACCCATCTCTTTGAGCGGAATCTTGCTTAAGTGGAAGTCGGATCGCCCTCCCAAGCACTTTGACATTCCTGCCTGAAAGGAAGTGCGGATGCCTCTCATTCCTTTGTAAAGTGGCGCAGCATTGCCTTTGAATTACAGCAGCGTCAGTGTAGGCACTGACTGAGGCTTTCTGGATTGAGCAGTAAACGCAGCGCACACCCCCAAGCACAGTTGATTCGGCACAACAAAAAAGTCCGAGGGGACTGCTAAAATCTGCTAGAGCCCCTTCCACGCGGCTCTGGGCTGGACTGGCTTTGGAAACGAGGCCTTCCCATGGTGTTAAACACTTGCGAGCGTGGCTAGCGACGTCAAAACCTTTGTGTTTCTCCAGCGGTAAGACCATGTCTTCCACAGGACAAGACAGCTGAGCCCATTTGCATGTAAAAGGCTCTTGCAGTCAGTCCGGCAGCATTTCCTGCCAGCACATGCCGTTCGACCACGCTTTGACGGGACATGTTGGCAGGCTTAGAAACATCATTGGCCACAGTTCGGGGAGACCTCGAACAACGAATCAACAAACATGTCGTCAGCTCGGTGGGACGTTACCACAACTGAGCTCGTGGAGTTGGCGTACCAGCCACAAGTCAGAAGGGTGCATCAGAGCAATAGAGTGCACATCGCCAAGGGTGCAATGGAGGAGCACATTGCTAGCAACGGTCTTAGCTTCAAGTTTTCCGTCGAGTTTCAAGGCTGTAGCACCACCGAAGCGCCCAGACGCAGATGAAGGTCTTCGCAAGCAGCTGGAGTCGGTGCTGGCAGAGAAGGTGCAACGACTTTCTCTCTCACACACTCGCTCTGACTCTGACTCTCACTCTGACTCTCACTCTGACTCTCACTCTCGCTCGCACTCTCCCTCCCTCCCTCCCTCGCTCGCTCCCTCGGACTGTCAACCATGTGATGATCGCAGGTCAAGGCCGAGGGACTAATCAGTAGCCAGCACGTGTGTGCCTCAGACACGGACTTCTCGAAAACAGATCCCTTGGTTTGAGGGAGGTGCTCGCCGGCTCACAATGCCTCCCAGAACTCGGACCTGAGGATGTCTGTGTTTCTCTAGTCCATGCACTTCCCGATACCATTCATGTTGCAGTTTAGTCCGTGTCGGTGGGTACGCAGTGTCGACGTTTATCGCCCGAGAAAGCAGGTGGATGTAGTTCGGGTGGCACAAACATTAAACACATGGGTTGCAGTGACACCTAGAAACAAAATAGCAGCAGACTGTTTAATCAAAAATCCCGGACCTCCTCACTCTGAGTTCTAACTCCGCAGCTTAGCCTTGGCCACTGCTAACCTCAACCGGAGATATCGGAAATGCCAATGCACCTCACTGCAGTCTAAATTTTTATCAGATCAAAAATTTGCATGAAGAGTGCGTTGCCGGACAATAAACTGCGCCCAGTGCCAATAGATGCTGGAATCGGCAGCATTCAATCGTCAAACGGTAAAACACTTCGCGTCCTCGGCTGGCTGCAAGTGAAGAGGGCCGACGAACTTCTTGTAGAGTGTGGGTGCAGGGGGAGGGGAGGGGTAGTGGGGGTGACCGCCGGCCGGGTGGGGTGGCCGATGAAGGAAGGAAGCAACAAGTTGAGCCAGACTGCCTACCAACAATCGAAATCCAGTGGAGCGCAGGAGGGCGGCGAGGGTGGGGATTAAAAGGAGGGGAGCAGGGGGGGTCCTTGCAGAACTTCTGGCAGCTTATAGTTCAAGGATGCCAGTGCCTCAGGTTGAGATCCTCAGCTTGCACAAGCTTCGTGATGAGTTCCTTGCAGAGAAGGCCAGTCAAAGGCAGCGACATGGCCATCCCAACGGCAGAGCTCTGCGGCGGTCTGAGGCTAATGGCCAAGCCCTGGTCCAGAAGTTGGACGCAAGCGAGGCTGAGATTTCGCGCTCCAAGAAGGACACACGGTTTAATGCAGCGTCGAGTCGTCATGCTACAGGCTAGACGGTGGCTGAACTTTCGGTTCAATCTTTCTGAGAAGGATAAGGCTGCGCTTGACCAACTAGTCAGCTCGTCGGGGCCTAAGTCTTGCGATCTTACAGCGATGGGGACAGGCCCTGCAGAAAGGAAGAAGAAAGAGAGAGACATCGAAGTCTTGTGGTCTTTGGAAATAGTTGTCCGGGTGCCGGGAGTCTGGAGAGCCGCTGGAGCATTTGTCAAACACACCTGAATCGTGCTCTGCCCGGTGCGTGGTCGCTGCCCTCAATGGTGGGCTTACAGTGATCTTGTCCAATATGACAATTGGCGCACGGAAGTTCGGCGACGTATGGTGAAGTGGCCTCCTCTATTCCATCTTGGTTAGGGTCTTTGCTCTGCGCTGCATATCCAGCCAAGGCTGCATGTGGACTGTGCGCAGATGCGGACACAACGAGATTCTGCATTGGCAGAGGTGGGAGCCTGCTTGAGCTTGCCCGCCTGGTGTGACTATCACTTTGCAGGTGCCACACTTGAAGTCGTCGATTCAGCAGCAGGATGTCCTGATGAAAGACTTGGAAAACCAGGCTCGTGACGGCGCCGGGTATCGTGTGCGATCGTGTGCGTATAGATTGGTCTCGATCACACAGCACCGATCATGCCTGCAACGGGCAGGCATGCATTCCTCGATTATGCATATCGGTGTCACAGGTGACCGCCCTCCAGCAGCAGTTGCAGAGCAGCAAGGATACCGGTGGAAGGGTGGATCAGCAAGCCCGCTGCCATGCGAATCGTGTTGTCATGTGTTCTATCGGCACAGAGGTGTGGCTTGATTCAAAACTCAGGCTAAGCATCTTGCATTCGCTCTGGAAAGATCGCGGGAAGATGGAGCTCGTCACGAGCAGGACAAGAGATGCCGCAAGATGCTGCAAGTGAAGGTGTCTTAAGGTCAGAATCTGCTTCTATGCAAACACATCGACCTGATTCGGGATTTGATCGCGTGTCCGGACGGAGGCAGCGCTTGCCCTTCGTGTAGAACGAACGCGATTGCTCGAGGCACTCGCTCACTGTTCTCTGCTATGTCGGACATGCATCTGGCTTCAGGCCTTGGAAAGACTGCGGCGTGGTAAGGCACGGCAGCGTGAAATCCAAATAAGTCATCGCGGCTTTTCGACTTTTCGCTTTTCTCTGTACTTTTCGACTTCTCGCTGCAATGGTTTACTTTTCAAGATTTTTTGATTTTTCGGGTTCTCGGTTTTTCGCGCGAAATCTTCAATTTTTACAACTTTTGGACTTCTCGCTTGTCGGCTTTTCGCATGCAGTTTGGCATTCTCCACTTATCCGCGCCCACAGCCGTTCGCAAACGCAGCCAGACATGAGGGCATGTGCAGTAACGTTGCATCTAGTGCAAGTGTAGGTGCGCAGGATTATTTCCACTATTCTGCCCTTATGTTATAGGTTTTTTGTTTTTTCAATTCTGTCTTTATTTTATCGCTTTTTTCAGGGAATGCAAGTGCATGTGAGTCTGACATGAGTGCAGGTGCAATAACAGACCAATACTTCGGCACTGCATCTTTTGTCCTTTGCGACCACCCCAATCACGCCAACGGCCGAGCCGCCTTCTTTTTATGCTGCGTGGCTCTTTTGTTCCATGCGTTGGCCACAGCAAGTAATTATCAACAGACTGCTGCAAATATCACAGGATGTGCAAACGAGCAACATGATGCAACAAAACGCCGGCGATACCACGTGACACTCCTTGCATGCACAAACCGCCCCTTCACGGGACCTTTGATGGATAGACGGCTGCAGAGACCACCACTTCCGTTTCGTAGGCTGTTGCTTGCCTGGCTCTGGGAAAGTTTGGACATCGGAGATTGGCGATCCGAGATCATTAGACCTCGACTACCACAACGGGTCGGGCTGATCCAGCTGATGGGTGCAGCAGCAACAAGTGCTCGGATTTCACATTCAGCCTGCAACATGTCTGCCCAGACGTTGCTCGCATTTTCTGTGAAACAGTACGCATGGTTCGAGCAGAACGTAGACGCCTGAGTCGCCTACATTTCGGACATCATGGTGTATGAAAAGCAAGCTTTCCTGTTCGATTCTGATTCAGACGTTCTGCCTGGGTCGGAGGACAATTTTGACAAAATTGGTTCTACATCAGAAGCTGAGAACATAAGTGAGCAGATCCCTCATTCTGATCAGATCTGATCAGCTGGTGGACACATCGGACATTGTAGAGCGATTCCGAGGACGTTGGGAATTCCATTCACCTGTCCGACCAATGCGCAGCCACGATGGACATGGTTGACAGCCACACCGAAGACATGGTCGCCAAGCCAGAGAGGCCGGCTACAGCAGCAACGAGTAACGAGTTCTTCCTGATCGGACCCAGTGACTGGAGCATTCACGGCGATCAACATCACATGAGAAGCAAGCAGGAATTCATCCAAGCAAACCACTCCGCTCGATCTTTCACGCTCCGGACGGAAGTTTGTTGAGGGTTATTTCTTGCCCAAAAGAGGACACCAACCAGCTTGATGAGTGTTTTTCATTTCTCGACGGGCAGAACTCGTTCTCGACTTTCTGAAAAACACGGCCACAACCGTGTCTGTAGAGCCCAGACGCAGGATTTCATCTATCTCAAGTTAGTACAATACTAGTACGTGCTGTCCAGACGAAAAAATTCAGTGAATCAGTGACAAAGCCTGATCAATACTAAACGGATCCCGCCAACACAGTGCATCGACAGGTGTATGGAAGAGGTGCTGTCGCAATGACGCCACCATAGCAGAGACATATGAAGGACGCCAGACATGATCCAGAGCCACCAAGGTAAAAGAAAACGTGGTGTGCAAACAGGTGACACTCAGACACATGTCAGATCTGTGAACGTCAATCCAACTGTGCGTAGGTTGGCTCAACATGGCTGTTTCACGAACCCGACGTAGATCCACACAATACCACAACAGTGTTCTGCGCCATTTACCTCTACGACACATCCTCAGCGGAGTGACCTACATTCGCATATGGGCTGTACGTCTTGACCAACAAGGTGAAAATCAGGAAGGCACCAGAGAACAGCTGCTCTTCAACACGGCACTCATCAGCAAAGCACATGCCACAGCCCGGACAGTTCACCTCCAGATTGACCACAACCTGTGCGCTGGACTTTGAGAAGTGAGCATATCCCCGCAGACTTGGCCATAACAGACGCGCGCATTACCGGGTACACCAGTACCTTGATGAACAGAACTTTCTTACATGTCTTTACAGTCAGATAAGCCAATTGCATCACCAGCCATTAATTAGAGGGGGACATCCAACGTTCAGCGCAACAGTAGAAGAACTGTTCGAAGATCAACAGTACGGCTGGATACTAGCCACTTTGACCAAGGAGAATTTCCTGCGGCTACAAGTCGTACCTACTTGGATTTGAAAACACGTCTGCTACAGACATACTCTCGACTGTCTAGAGCTGACGACTTTTCTACATAGTGAAGTACACGCAAACCACTCAGGCCAGCATCATGTGTCAGAGATTGCAAGTGCATGTGAGTTTATGTGAGTGCAGGTGAAGTAACTGTCGTCTAATGCAATGGGCCGCCAAGGGCAAATTACTTCTGTGTCTCGTCGTTTCTTCCCCAAGTTGACAAACAGCGGTCCAGCTGCCTTGTTTCCTTGACGCTGCGGACCGGATTGCACGATGCCTGCAAGGCTACATGATGCATATGCCGCAACCACAACCACTGCACACTGATGTGCAACAAGACCCCGATGGCACAATGATGCCACCGTCACATGTCACACCACAACCCGCCTACAATTGATGCCGACAGCGCCAACCTCAGATGCAGGCTCTACGGCCCAATACACAACTGGACATGAGCAGCGCGGTGATGACACCGCCGCCACATGACTTGCAGGGCATGCAACCGTTCGACCAGCACCCCAGTATCGCACAGTTTTGTCAGAGACCAAAAGCATCGAACATCACCACACCACCACCACAGTTAACGTCACAGCCGGTCACGGTGGCAGATGTTATTCGGTTGATGCAGCACACCAAGTCGACTCAGGTCACGCAACTCACTGTGCAAAATAGCCAACGTACAATACAACCACAGCCTGTACAACACGCATTTGCGACTCAACAAGGCGCCAGCTCAGGCGACCCTAACAACTCAAACCACAGCGCCAGAAATCTTGACCCAAACCACAATCACACCACAGCAGCCAACACCTGCTCCACCCGCAGAGATCAACAAACCACCGCCGGAGCGCACGATGCCGACCAGTACCTTCTCACAGCCGCGTCCACGAACAGTGTCTCGCAGCCGCAGTGGCCAACGCCACGCTAGCACGCAGAACAAAACACGCCACGGACGCTGCAACAGCCACCACACCAGCAGGAAACATCGACAACAACATAGCAGACGACGCCACCGCAGCCCATCCAGCCGGACCATCAGCCGCGTTCCACGGACAATCACACTACGCAGCTCGTCATCGATCCGACGGGAGACTCGCAACCCTGGCAACATCGAACACAGCCACATACCACGGTACAGCAACATGGCTTCCCGTCACCACCGCCACCGCCACCAACGCGATCACCCCGCAAAGTGACCGAGCCATTACAAAACCAGGCTCGCGTGGACAACCGGGCAGTGACGCAACAGCAAACACCCACACGAGAACGGGAGAAAGCGCAAAGCAGCTCGGGTCGTCAGCAACATCTGCAGGCGTCACGTTTCAACGACGTACAGACCGACCGGCGGCCACCCCAGAACATTGTCACACCGTACGTGGAGATCAGACCGCAAGACAGGGTCACACCACAAGCAGTTGATTTTGAAGAGTCCAACAAGCTGGCACACACACACACACACACACTCGCTGAGATAGCTGACATAACAAGCATCAACATCAACGACGTATCTGGTTTAACACATGACATATGCGCATAGGGATCACGAGAGGCATGCCAGGTGGTCATAGTTATTTCCGATGGGGTGCATACTATTCTGTATGTGCCGTGGAAGGGCGAAGAAAGCCTTCCTTGTGGCTCTTCGGCTACAACACCGCCGGGGCCCACTCACAACTATGTGTGCTGCCATGGCACAGACATGCAACCAACATCCGGCATTCTGCTGGAAGCCTTGGTCCGACCCACTAGCATCCAGACAACATTTTCTGCAAACAACGCTGAGATTCCAGCAACAGTGGTCTACGGATCAGCCACCCACGGCGAAATGAACGAACAAACGCTACATGTCGTGGCGGACAACTCCGCACGTCGCAGCAAGGGACGGCGATGTTCCATGCGACCTCTGACTTGGCATTTTATAACCAGCGTTCCAGTGCAGTGTGATGTTAGTCTGCATGATCTTGGCTGTGTGATGGATATTTCCAGCTGTACAAGCGGACCATGGTGCAAGATTACAAGCACAATTGAGCAAACCCAGCAGATCTGGCGTAAAGATCGCTATTAAAAGGGTTTGTCACTTATGATGAGCCCCAAGGATTAGCGCTTAGTATCCTTACACTCCTACACAAGCAAGGTCAGATCGACCCGTATTCGGCAATCATGCAGAGCAGCCTCGGGCTTTTGTTGCAGGAGATGTGTGTTTGGAGTCCCAGCAGCATTATTATCTACCTTCAATGCATCCGTGGGTTTTGCGGCTTTTTGTGCAGTGTTCCTAGACGACAAGCTCTGTTTTTGTGGTGTGCATCGGTGGGCTTCAATTTGATTTGTCAGTTTGCAATGCATCGCGATTCTCACAATCATTCGATTCTTCCGAGTGCCATTATTCCCGCCTCTATGTTTCAAGGTGCACGGCTATGGGTAGAAGATTCTGATGGACAAATCTTGGTTGAGGGTGTCCGAGCTCGAGCCATTGAGATTACTTTTCCGTGTGTCACCTTTCAGTCTAGATTGCCACATTCTACTGGGTCATGGACTGGCAACAGGCTTGTCGTTATCTTGTATCATATACATCAGGCTTGGAGACTGCCTGAGCATGCACGTAGATGTCTTACCAGCGCTGGATTCCAGGCGTATCCGTGTGATGTCATGTCTGTTCCGTGTCTGCAGGATTGACGTTCAAAAGAAACGTTAAGCTGTGAGTGCACGAGAGATGCCTGCGTCGGAAGTGAGTCAAAGCCGCTGCATCAGATCTTGGAGTTTGAGGTCAGGCTTTTTTTGGCGACCGAGCCCGCAGCTTTGTCAAGAGCTTCGGCGAGCTCTTGCCCCCAGAATCCGTCAGGATGGGGCTGAGCTAGTGGAACGGTCTCCGGTATATCATCATTCTGGTAGGAAGACGTGCTAGTGGTGAGACTGAGGCAATGGGATGCGGATTTTCAGGACTCCCTCCAGCCCCTTTGCCCCCGGCCCCGTTTCCACCCCTCCGTTCTCCCCCTCCTCCCATCTCACCGAGTCGAGAGACCCTCGCAGGGCTCCTTTGCCTCGCTTGAGAACCAGTACCTCGCCATGAATGCCTGAGATTGATGTACTTGACGTTGAGGATGAAGCGGTCGGAGTGAGCAGTGCAGATGTGGGACGCGCTAGTGCCGGTGCAAGGAGTGCTGATGGTGAGATTGCAGACTCTGGTAGCGCGGCTACTTCTGCAAGACTTGTCCCCAAGGCTATGCCCAGGAATGTTCGTGACAGGCATCGTGAGCCTGCACCTATTACTACAAGGAGCGCGCTTCATCTACGGCTGTCATGCATACCCAGCACTGGTGATGTCAATGAGTCTGGTCCGAACTCAGCGATCCTGTACTTGCAGCCACTATAACGACCGTTCACGTTCTCGTTCGTGGTCTCGTGATAATTCTACGGAACTCTAGCAGAGTGAGGGCTGTGTCTGAAGGGAATGCTTTTTCCGCGGGGAACGCCAGTCGTTTCAGCGCTTCAGTGCAGAGCTGGGTGTGGTTGGTCTCAGAATTGTTGCCTTGCATTAACGGAGTTCATCTGGCGTGAGCCGACATGACAGTGCATTTGCTGACATGTTTTCTTCTATGTGTCGCCCCTTCTATACCAGTATGCAGGAGAAGCCACAGGAGAATCTTTTTCAGAACTCCAAATGAATGCGCTGGAAGTAAGGACCGCGACAGAGCTGAATTTACGGGTACGCAGCCTGGGAGCAAGGCTGCGAGGAATACAAAGGCTGCTTCACCCATTCTTTCATCAAGGCCCCACAGTGTACATTCCCTTCGTTTATGAAGGGCCTTCCCGCGGTTGGTTTTCTTGGCAGCTGTGAGCCGTGAGTGCAGCTGTGAGCCGTGAGTGCTGAGTCGGTACTTCGAGTTGCTGAAGGGAAAGCGTATGTTTATTTTCGGAAGATGCTGATGTCAACTCAGCAGTACCACTTCGTCAGTGACTGGCTGCACAGGTTTGCTGAGGAGCGCTTTCGCATTAATGATGGACTCATCCCGGACTTGAGTCTGCTGAGGTAAGGAATCCCTTGCGTTGAGAGCACGTGTTAGTCAATACATTGAACAGTTTTTGATTGCAACCAAAAAAAGGAGTGCGCATTGTGTGCGAGCTTACGTCTGTGTGAGCACTGCTACGTTGCACTTGCTTGTGCTTGTGATCGCTGAAAGGTTGGTGGCAGAATGCAGCCTGTTGTCGCAAGGTAAGGTGTGCTGACGACATGGATCGTCAAATGACGGATGACACCCCGTGGCGTGACGCAGTGCTCCACCGCGCAACTCTTGGAGCTGCTTTGGCACATCTGGGACCTACTCAATAAACGTTTGCGGCTCACAGATGGACCCATTCGATGTCCACGCGCCTGCGACTGTGCACGGGGAGGTGTTGCTTTCACAGCCATTTCTTCACGCAAGAAGAAATACACTTATGGACCACATCGTTGTTTCTTGCACGACAACTCAGGATATGAGTACTTGTAAAGAAACAGGCGCTGAGCGCATTGTGCTCATGGAAGCAAAACGCGGTGGAGACTCTCAGGTTTGTGCTCATGTATGCAACAAGACAGAGCGATGCTACTGAAACTTTTGTCATGCATTGTGTTTTTGTTGCCCTCATGCTGTAGTTGAAGTGATCTCAGAGTTGTGGCTTATATGCGGTGCATGAGACCTGACGATGGGGATGTGAAACCATGACTGCAGGCCAGGTTTTGAGCCTGTTGCAGGACGGTGAAGAAGTCAAACACAGTGTCGAGTGCAAGAGGGAAAAAGCAGCTTCCGTCTGTTGGCGAAGCCTTGCAATGTCGGAAGGCTTTGTGTCTGAGCAGTATTTCTCGGCCTACGATCCGCTTCCCCCACTGCAGACGTGGATTTCGTATACTCACGCTGAGATCATCAAGATCATCAAAGTTAAGGAAGACCTCAAATCATACCGCCAAGAATTTGCGACTACGCAACAGATACAGCAAGGGCAGCTGGACGTCATTCAGTCACGACTGCGGAAACATGACCACAAAACCAGTGAGCTCATTGATGCAACTACTGAGCTCATTGTTGCAACTATTGAGCTGCTTCAGAAGCAGCGACAGACTCAGGATATCCTTTCCTGTTTGTTGGGTGATTTATCAAGCCGTGTCAGAGTGATTCCCGTAGTGCTGTGGATTTGGATTGTTTAATGGAGTATGAAGTCAAAAGACTACCCCTTCCTTGGAGGGGCGTGTGTGTGTGTGTGAGCCAAGGACGGAAAGTAACGATTGGACGAGCCTGTAGATTATGTCAGCAGAAAGACATGGCATGAGATCAGGGACCAAGTCCAACGAAGCTACCTGATCTCGTGGAAAGCAGAGCTTGGCCAGCCCTGTGTACCTGCTTGTACAGATTGCTGGAATTTGAGTGACTGCGATGTTAAGGGATCAAAGGTGTGTAGTCAGGAAGGAGGACGCAATGCTCAGATGGGAGATCTGCACACGTGTGTCTGTGTGTGTTTGTTTTCCATCGCGTCAGCAATCGCCCATGCTTGTTTACTCGCCACACCCGTCCTGCATGCGGACTTCAAGACGAGCGTTGTGCGTCGATGTGTCGCCGGCCCTGATGTGGCAGGCGGAAAGCGATCTGCGAGCTTCAGCATCAGCTAACGAACATGGCTTGTTGCAGGCCTACAAGTGCAAAACCAATGCCAATCGCAGCTCCCTCCAGCTTGATGAAGTGGCCAGGCTCATGTCGAACATATCAGTTCGGATCGCGAGCAGCTGTGCACGTCTCGGCACGTTGAAAGTTCTGGTTATATGGTTGTTGCAGCACAGACGCGCTTGGTTATAAGGCAAGTTCAGCTTCACCAAGCCACATCGGAGACCTCGGCCATCAGGACAGCAAAAAGTTAGGGGGAGTGACTCGGGGGAACGATCGCCCCACAGCCTTCAAGTGCAGGAGCCGATTGGCCGGCCTCGAGCAGATGGTTTGGACCTTGGCTCCTTCGGAAATCTTGGATTATGTGCCAATTCTTCCACAGGTGCAGGCTTATGCAGACAAGTGCGCGGCCTTGCAGCAAGAGGCCACGCCACAGCGAAAATACGTGGCGGATCATTTCCGGTTGTAGATGTCGTGGTTCACCCAGATAGTGCCGTTAGTCTTCAGTTCTCTTACGACGTCACAGCGAGTTCATCTTGCTAGTCACCTCTTTACGTTCCTGCTTCACCCTGTCTGTGACGGATCGTCGAGTCTTGTCAACGTGGATTCGGGCTGTCTGTTGCTTAGAGAATCTTGGTCCTGGCCCCGAGGGCACGGCACGGAAAACTTGCGATCCTCTTCGACCCAGCCTTCGTCCAGCACACCCGAATCGAAACGCTGAGTGGCAAACCACAGACCATGCCTCGTGCTCCAATAAACACGTATTTGGCCCTGGAAGAAGGAGGCTGCGTAATACGAGACTGACATCAATTCTGCAGAAAGCGTTTCGTGTTGGCACAGCAGAGCTTCTCGGAACACACTGAGCCAGTGTATCTTCTTCTGTCACTCCAGCCACACCTTGGTAGCCGAGATCATCCCAATGTCCAGAAGTTTGTGGATGATGTTGTTAACCTTGCCGAGGTGAGCGAGAGAGAGCTGTTACTTTAGCAAGACAAATTGACGACGCGTGGGCGACATGACAATCTGTCCCGTGAGTGAGGAGCTTCTTGTTTAGTCAAGCGATCGAGTGCATTGCCGCGAGGTTTCCTCCTTGCAAGACGACAAGGTCTGGGAGCAGGGTCTCAAATGGTCTCGATGTCCTTGCAGGTGTCATCACTGCCCAGTTGTGAGGCCGAGCTTCAGGAGAAGCTTGAGGCGGCACCGCGTGCGGCACGAAGCCCCGAGAGAAGTCCCATGATTCAGCCGGGGTCTCATGCTTCCAGGAGTTGAGGGTGAGCACGGGGCATCCTCGTGCACGCGCAGAACGAATGGTTGGGTCCAGGAAGTGGGTTGTGGGTTGTGTCGGGACACTGCGAAAGACGCCGACAGGTCTCCGAGCTTCCGTGTGCCTTCTACCAGCTTTGATCGTCAGCAGTCCGGCCTACGTAGATCAATTTGACCATCGTTCCACCCTGTTGTTTTCTGGGGCCAGGAAACAGTCTCAAGAGCGTGCGCCGCACACGTTTTTTGATCTACGGGTCGTTGGCTTCAGCACAAAATCACAGGCCTCTTTACTGCGACTGTTGACAAGTTGCGTTGCTGCCATCGAGACGAGCGTTCTAGTGTGGGTGTTCTAAACAGAAGAAGGCCGATGTTCAATTCAGCTTCAGTGCAGCAAAGACTAGAGTGATCTAGAGTGATTAGTACGCAGTGAAAACATCTTTGACACCGCTGCAGGCCAGCAGGGTCGCAAGGATGGGCCCTGTGAGGATGTGGCAGATGTTTTCGTTTCACGGCATGGACGGGATGTGGCTACTCGTTAGTTTATACTGTGGCGACTCACATGGTAGCCTATGACGGGCCTATGATGCTGTGATTCTTCTGGAAAAACATCCTCTCCATGTAGTGGAGTTAATGCTCGGTTCATGATCGGGGCAGTGCGGTTCCAGGGAACATGCAGAGAGATCTAGCAAGTCCGCAATCGTTGTTGGATGCATGCATCGGCGATTTCAAGCTTGGTAGCTCCGTGTTTGGCTCAAGCTTCATGGTGTGGTGTCGGATCTCGTCGGCACATCGTCCAGGCATGGCCAGGCATGGGCTGCCAAGGCCGCAGCATGACAGTCGCTACCTTCGGAAGTACAGTCCTTGCCATGGAGTATCGTGAGACTTCAGGCCAGGCTGCCTCTTGGCAGCCGCCTTGCTTTTAGCCACGTACTTAACCTGGCCGTTGTCCACAGCGGTGTCTCATCCTCTCAGCTGTCAGGCTAGACTGACGCTTGCTCAGGTAAGCTTGCTGCAATTTCAATGGCTAGATTTTACAGCTTGGCGATCCGCCGAGAGGCACTTTCTGGGGAGTTTCGGGGCTCCGGGGCACTGCAGATGAACATTTCCTGCGAGGAGTAGCTCCAGCTCTCGACTCGTTGGCTGGAGATGGCAGCCCTCCGCTGGAGTCTATGTAAGACAACGGTCTGTGACACCGACACCTTCTTGAACGGAGTCGTTTTCCAACGATTCTTGAGGTGCGAGGGCAACTTCCTGCAATGAGACTCGGTCCGGGTGGTGGCTCTGATCCAGTGCGCCAACACTCGGAGATTTCACTTGTGAACATCTTGACTGCCAACAGGTCAACAATGTGTCGCCTGAAATGGCAGCTGCTGGACGAAAGTATGCTCAGAAGTACGAGGTTGGGGGCAAGCAAGGTGCTCCATGATCTGTAGCAGCTGTCTCACTGTCTTCCCAGGACATCATGTTGGCTGGACAGAAGGTTTGGCAGGAAATGCTGAAGAAAGACGAGGCGGTTCGTTAAAGCATCAGACGATTGGTGGGGTGCTCGTTTTGCTCACGAGGTCCCAAAGAAGATCTACTTCATTGGCACAAATGGAAACACAGGTGCTGCTGTGCTTGAAAATCTGCCTTCTGTTCGAGCAGCTATGGAAGTTGGACATGATGCCGCATCGTTGAAACTCGAGTTCAGTCATGGATGACAAACCATGCTGCGAGGGTTGCACGGTGTTGTTATCATGTTGTAGGTGAGATGGTTGCAGAAGCCTTGATGGATTCACTGGCGTCAGGGCCTCAAGGTCTCATGGGATGACAAATTCCAATGTGGGGCATAACTATTTAGTAATTTTCGATCCCAGGTATGTCCCAGCTCCCGATGGGACTTTGTTTTTGCGCAGAAAGCCTCTGCCCCAGTCGGGGGGACCATGCAGAAGGGACTGGCTTTGCCTTGGGACAGACCGGGGGTCGACTACCCGAAGCTGAAATACTATCTTCTGAACGGGGACAAGGAGGCAGGGTGGCACCGAAATTGGGGTTCTGTGTACGGCATCCGGCATGGAACCTACTGCCGACAGAGCATTCTGATCAAGACTTGGTAGCCCCGCGTCTCGCGAGTTGGCAGCGAGAGCTCCAAAATCGCCGGTGGACCTGTACATGGAAGATGAGAAGGCCTGCATCGAACAGCGGTTTCATCACACCAGCTGTGATGGTGTTTCTTGCTGGTATGATTCTGTTCCTGCTACTCTGCGACCTGCAGAAATATCGTGAGCTGGAGACTGAAGTGTTGAAGGAGTTTCAAGACCTGGTGCGACCTTTAGCATTCCAGCTTGTTGTGGCTTCGAAGCTTGCAGTGGTAACCAATCGAAATCCTGGTAAGGAAACGGAGGGCCAGCCCGCCGGCATCATCGTCGGAGAGAGCGCTGTTAGCATTCCCGAGAACGTGCGCACCTTTCAGTGTGGAGATCTGACCGAAACAGCTCGTAAAGGACAACGAACAGACTGGCCGCCACGATGCAGGTTGAAATCCTGAAAACCGGCTTGGTGATCTGGCTGGATGTTGCGGCCGAGTTCAGCTGGACCTCGCATAAGTAACGGCACTGGCAATCTCGAGTCGGCTTATCCAAAGCAGCTCAAAGGAGCAAGACACAGATGAGAGCCAAAGCCGGTGGGGGACTCTTCATCCCCTACGAAATCATCAGGTGCCTTGGACCGGGGCTCTTAGGAAATCCGGGGACTGTCCAACCTGCAGGCCGCCTGTTTGGTGCATTGCAAATGGCTGGGATGGAGACATCGATGACGGGGAGGCATCGGCTTCGGAGCTTGCGAGGGTAAGTGTTGTTTTTATGATTTTTCATGCTTGAAGGGGCGGTGCTGCCAGTGCTGCGATTCTGCGAGGCAAAGGCGGAATACATGGATATGGTCGAGAAATACAACGAGATGTACGAGGAAGTCGCTGACCTTCGTCTTCGAGCAGTGCCAGTGGCTGCATGAGCTATCACTAGCTGTCACTAGCTGAAAGCAGGAAGCTCTGTTGGTGAGTTGTGCAATTTGCTGCACACCCCGAGAAGCAATGGACTTGGGTCGTATCAGCTTGTAAGCATCCTGCCAATCTTGTTTTCTTTTTCCCGCTCCTGTCCGCATTGCTGTCTTGGGCGAACTCATCTCGCTTGTTTTTGCTCCTCACGCAATTCCTATGTCGCACCGTTGGGGCTTGAATGCTGCCTCTCGAAGCCCGTTTGCGGTCGCCTTTCGTGACTCCAAACTGTCCACTGCTGTTTCGCGATTGGTCTCCAAGCCCAGTGTGCCATGCGATGCGCAGGGATATCTGCGGGCCGGGACCTTTCCTGCTTCCCTCTGTTTCAATTTCTGCTTGGGGTGGGTGCGTCATTGCGCTTGTCGGGAAATGCACGTGTGCACCCAGTGAAAAGTTAGGCATGTGAAAGTTTGTGTTTGCTCCTGTCAGGGGCAAACTTACAGGCGGCATCTGAAGCCGTGAGTGAGTCAAGAAGAGGCAGTTTCGTGGACCGACCAGTTCGCCTTTTAGAGGCTTGAGCAGGTTGGCTGCGGTTTCGGACCACGCCACTCCACGGGCAGCAGAAAAGAAAGTGGACCGGTGAGAAACAATTTTCGGCCCCATGCCATGCCGCCCACAGACCGTAAACCCCCAAACCCCAAACATTAAAGCGTTTACACCCCGGACACTGGAACTGTAAGCCCTCAATCCCCGAAACACCTATCTCCTCGCGTGCAACAGCAGCAGAGAAACGTGCCGCGCATTGATTTAAAGTCCCCCCAAACATCCCGAGCCTTCAGCGACCACCAGCAAATGAGCATTTTGCTCTTGCGTTCTTTGCCCTCGCGACTGCTATCCGCCATGCATCCGGAACTCGTTCTGCCAGAAGGTGTAGGGGGTGTAGGAGAGGACCCCCAAAGTGGTGTGATTCGGGTCTGGTTTGGGCAGCTATCCCTCGCGGCACGCGGGCATCTTGGGGCGTGGTCCGCCGTCTCCTCTTTTCGGCTTCCAGCGGACTGGTGCTTAAGGTTTGCATGCCTGCAGCATCTGTAAAACAGCCCCACGTTTTCCCCCGCACCTCCCGCACCTCCGTGCAGCAAAAGCTTTCGTCGACCCGCCGGGTCTCGAGTGTTTGGGCGTGGCTTTCAACAGGTGGATCACAACCCACGTCTTCTGCCCAAGACCTTCGCCTAGGGCCCTGTTGTCTTCATTCACAGAAAGGTGGAGAACGAGGTGGCAATTGAGGTGTGCTTTCTTCGCTCCGTGTAGCACATGTGTATGCGACATGAATGCCAACTCATTGTTAAAAGCATGTTGAGTTTGGCAGGCTTGGGTGCATGCTCTTCATTCATAAAAGTTGCATGTGCTGCCATTTGGGTTAAGTGTTGCTGCGAGCCAAATTTGGCAGCAGTGAAATTTGAGCTTTCAGGAGGGTCCTGATTCGCAGGTGGGACTTGTGTGGCTAGGTTGTCCCACCTTTACAGCCCTGGGGGTGTGACCCATGAAGGGATGTCGCGTTCCGCGTGTTGGACCAGGTATGTGCACAGGGCGGCTGCTCCGTTGGTGTGCCATGAGCAGTTCTATGCTAAATGCCGCATACAAGTCACATCGCGTGGCATGGAGTTCTGGCTAGCCAGTATGTAGCCGACATGGCGACCAGATTGTCAGGACCACCTTGGGAACCGCGATGTACATGGAGTGCAGGGAAGATTTTGTCACGACATAGCTTATGGTACCTGCTGCGTAGGGGTGCCGATCCTTGACCTCCTGCGGGAGATCCGTACCTGTCGGGCCAGGTATGGCTTGGAGTCGCCCGAGGGTTTTAGTGGGGCACTGGGCCCTTGGCAGCAGCTATTGAGTTCGGGGGCGCGGCTGTCGCCGATGCCTGGCTGGCTGCGTCCAAGGATTTGGGCCCATTGCTTGGCGTCCATGCTGTGGGTGCGTCGTATCAGGCGGCCGCTGTTGCGCCAGGGCAGTAGGTTATTTGCTCGGGTTGGGCCGCGGCAGACGGCGGCACGCAAGGCTGCTGACATGTCCGGTATGGTCGAAGAGTTGGCTTTGCTGTTTGAAGAGACTGGGGCTTTTCGGCCCAAGCATGCCCGGGAACCGCAGTTGCAGGAGTAGAAGGGCTACCTCCGGAAAGTTGCAGAGCAGAAGGTGGAGTCGGCCGAGGCAGCCACATTTCAACACGTCATCCTCTGCTTAGCGGAGTTGAGTAAATTCCGTTGGTGAGGGGCAGGGCTGAAGGACTGCTGGATGTGGATGTGGTTGATTTGGCATCCTTCTTAACCGCAAACACCAGTGAGCCTTCTAGGGCTCTGCTAGCATTGAAGTGGTTTTCAAAGCACGGTGCGCTTCTTGGGATGTTCAGTCTTTGCGGCCACCTCCCCGCCCGACCTCAGCTAGGCAGCAGGACGGTAAGCAAGCAGCCCCAGCACAGCCGTGGATGGCGATCGACCTCGAGCGGAAGGTAAAGGCAGCCTATAAGTCCGGGCATGCAACCTGCATGCCACTGCTCGGCTCGTGCATGGTCTGCTTCGCATGCTTGCGTCATGTCCATCTAGAGCTCTCCGTCCCGACAATTTATCCCACAGCCAACACAGTCCAGTCTATCATTGGGCTTTCGCTGGGCTATGCCGGCAGCATTTTCGTGTGGATGGCCTTGGGCCACGTTTTGGGAACTAGAGTGTGTGGAGTAAGTTGCCCACCACTAATCGTGACTCTGCGGGCATGTGCTTTGATTACTTAGGCCAGGCCTGGGGAAGAAGCGAAATCCAGGACGCAGCACAGGTTGCCTTCTATGAGGAAGTGCAGGAGACAGAATCGTTGACAACATGCTCATGGCGGCGTGTGGGGGCTACTTTGGGGTTGCTTCTGAAGTGGGACTCGAAGGTTTTGCTAGCCCTGCGTGACTGGCAGGGTCGTGGTGACCAAGGTATGCCAGAGGATAATGCAGCATCGAAGTACTCTTTGTCCATGCGGTGCAAGCATTACGTCCTGGCTGCGGCGCGGGCCTGATCTTCATTTTCGTCTTGTCACTGCGGCGTGATAGCGGACCTCGGAGTGACTTAGGACGTGCAGAGTGACTGCACTAGGGCTTGGGAAGGGGTGACCTTTCATGGTAGTTTCCGTGCAACGCTGCCCGGCAACTCCCTTCGGAAGTCTCGGGCTACTGCTGTAGGCATGGCCCTGTATGCCAGAGCTGGTCGGTGACAATGTGGTGGGGTCCATGCGCATGTGTTCTGAAGACGGGGTGGCTGTGCGGTGGCAGGCACGCAGCCGCAGAAGCGCTGGGACGCGAGTTGGCAAGGCAGGTTGTTTTGATGGACCCACCGTGGGCGTGTCGTCTTCTGGAGCAGCTTCTTCTGGACCGGCCGTGGACGTGGCGCCTCCTGGGGCAGCTTTATCTGATGGATCCGCCGGGGGTGCAGCGTCTTCTGTGGCATCAGGTATCCGTGCACGCTCTGCAGCAGCGTTTGGTTTTGATGCACCGGCCGTGCACGTTGTCTCTGGAGCACCGTTTGGTTTTAATGCACAGGCCGTGGACGTACATGCTGGGGAGCCGTTAGCCACGAGCGCAGAGTGGCGCCTCGCTGGGAGGATGGAGCTGCGCGAGCCGATGAGCGCTTTGATGAGTGCGGCAGATGCGCGCTCCAGCGCGGAGCCAAGGCGGCAGGATGACAGGATGGGCTTAGTACTCCGTCCGTTGTGCATCGGTCGTCTTCTGGCGCAGCGCTCATTCTGGGTCCCCTGCCGACGCGTGATATATAATGCTGATTTCATGCCAGAAGCTGCGTCGCAGATCTCTTGTCTGGGATGCCATCCGCAGCAGCGCGGCGGATTGGTTTTTCGTATGAGGGCCCTTCCGCTTCTGTGGGGAGTCGTGCGGATGGATTCGGCGTGTGATGAGTGGCAGGGGCCACAGAGCAGCGATGGGCGCTGTCGTCCTGGTATCGTTGTTGGATCGCATATCCTTTCAGGGTGCTCTTGCATCGGTGGCGCGGAATCGACCTGGCATTGATGCAGCGGCCTTTTTGCGTCCGGGGCGTCAGCGAGCTGCTTTTCTGGAGAGCCTCGCAGTGCAGAACCGGCTGCCATGTCAGATGCTGGTTGTGGTCGTACATGGCTACTCCTGCCTCGATCGTGCATGTTGCAACGGCGGGGGTTCTCCGCTTCGCGCCGCCACCAGAGGGCGGGGGACCGGAGATTGACAGGTCACTCAGGACAAGTACGAAGCTCAGGGCTGGGGTCGGATGCAGTGCACTCAGTGCGTCTCCAAACCTTAGCGCCGGCGAGCTTCCAGCGGTGATCGACTGTCGGGCACTGGAAAAGATGCAAGTCTTGTGCCGCTGATTGTTGCATGGGGCATGGGGATTGTCAGTGTGAGCTGAGCTGCAAGGGTTTCCTTGCTGCCCGTTGGACCACGTTTGGAGTGCAAAACACCCCAAAAAAACATACCCCGGTTCTCGAGCCGACAAGGGTGGTTAAGCGATTTTCTAGCCCCACCGCATTCGTGAGTTTGCACGCTGCGCTGTCTCGCGGCTCTGCAGTTTTTCATCCTGCAGGCGTTTTCCGGGGAGTGACCTCGGGGTCGGCGTTTTTGCATTGCACCCAGGTTCCAGGAAGGACCTAAGAATTACAACTAAGAGAAGCATCCCCAGCATGGCAAGCTGGGCGAGCTGACGCTGGAGCTTCCTGAGTGTCTGGACCGCAGCAGAGCCAAACACCCTGCCCGTCGTTGATCCGTGCAGCCGTTGGCAGCCATCGTTGGCTGCGTGGAAGGGCCTCTGCCGTCGGCGTCGCCAAGCAAGCTTCTGCAATGTCAGACAAGATGTGCCGACCCGCATCAACATCTCCGGCCACCATTGCCGCCTTGAAAGGCTCTAGATTTTTTGGGAAAACAGTGATTCGATCACCTCCCCGGAGATTCCTCACGCAGCTTGTTCCGCCTCGGTATCGTCATAAAAGAAGGCACAGAAAGAGGAATTTCGTAGCAAACCGAAGCATGGTCCGAAAAGGTCACATCAAAATGCGGCTGCAACAGACCAGTGGCAACAGCGATGACCGGGGTCAGTTGCCGGGAGGGCCCCTCCACGAGCGCCGTCGTCCAAAGAGCGGATAGCGCCTGCCGCTAAAACCCTCACCCAAGACAGCCTCGGCGGGCTGGAGGTTGAAGTCGCCAGCAACAATGAACGGAACCCGTCTGTGGGCACATGCAGCCAAAATGTCAATGACTTGCGCGACTGCTGCAGGAACATGGCCCGATTGGCCCTAGAAAGATGCCATGATGAACTGCGTAGAGCCACAGCTCGCCATGACATCGAAAGGGTCCGAGGTGCATCTGTTTGTGGCAAGGCCATCGGCAAACCTGAAGGAACGCAAGGGGAGCAGGCTCACCAAAGCAACACGGCAAAGCCCCGAACTCTCAGCAGGCGAAAGAGTGGCGTAAAAGCCACGCGACGGACTCGGGCTCGCGCGAGCTGGCACGAGATGACTTAGTCCACGCTGAGCGAGCTGGCAGACGCAACATCACAGGAAGTGTCCTGGCATTGGCTGCCACCCCCTCTCATGGGGACGTTAAGCGGTGGAGCGGCGACATCGCGTAGTTCTTGAGGAAATTTGTTGGTTGGCGTCACCACTCACAGTGTGAGCCAGTGAATGCCACAGCAGCAACTCGTTTTGCTGCTGCATATGCACAGTGCAAACCTCTATAGAAGGGGAAAGATAATGAACTTGACGCCCAAAATTCTGGCAAGATCTCGCTAGCAACTCTAGCGCCGCTGTCACCGTCTTCGGGTCGCGTTTTGCGAAAGCCCAAGGTGCCCGATCACCGGTGCATGTGCAATCATACGGAGGAGTGTGCATGTGAGCTCCATGCAGACCGGCATCGATACAGGATGAATGCATCCTTGGATATGTGCATGAATAATAAATGGGTACACAGTGCGTGGTATCAGCTGACCTCTTGCCCGGGGTGGTACCTGCCTCCTAAGTCCGAAGCAAAGCAAGATTATTCCGGATCTTTGTTTTTGGGAACCATTGGGAACGCACGAAGAAAAGAGACGGCTTGTGAAACCAACTTGAGAGTTTTGGGAAGATTCGAAAAGATCAAAAGATACTCTTACATGCTGTGACCATGAGCCTGACAAACAATCCGACCATGCATACATTCTCTGTCTCTCTTAGGAGAGAGCAGCAAAATGAATGAGACCTGCCGTGATAAGCAGAGGTTTGAAGCCTGGTTGAACACATGAAAAACTCAAATACGGGGTTTGGGACTGTGGAATTGAATGGAATTGAGCCATATACTGAACGATCTTTCACAGATAGCTTTCTTCAATATTTTGCTTTCAATAAGTTGGAAGGAGTCGTTGCTTCTAAATCCACCGAATGCAGTATGAGTCACCCTGTCCCAACCGTGCTCGACAAGCATCTACTTGGATTTGCATACGGTCACAGGTTCGGCCACTGTCGCAGGGCACAGTGTGAGATGAGATGGTATGACACAACATCATATTGACAATCCGAGAGTTGTCAGCGACCACCAATTTCGCCCTTGTCGCATGGACTTACAGAAAAATGGGAGCCTTTTCAAGATACTGAACGTGGCCTGAACTCCGCAGGGTTTCCGAAACTGCCAACCAGTCCAAACAGTTCTGTTGATGGAAGCTTCGAGAAACTTGCCCTACTCCCAACTCCGCGTCCTCAAATGTCAAGCCTTCGAACTGGTTTCCGCTCGTGTCAGCATGTTTTTGTGAAAGTTTAGCTCCCTTTTGCACCCTAGTGCCCCTAGGTTTCACTCGCTAACGCCCGCCGTACCTATCGGCTCAACTTTGGGAACTCCCGGACGCAGGGCCCTTGAGCTCTTTTGGAAAAGCGCGCTTCCGTAAACCAGTCACTTTCAGATTGGTAGCGGAGCTGTGCAAGATCGGGCCTTGTGAGGACCCAGTACGCACAGCTTCCGCTGGGGAGTGTCTTCCCCGGGGTGAGAGCGCCACCCCAAGCTACCACTGCGCATCGCCAGGGAGTCCCCTGGAGGAACTCACTTCGCTAGCAGCGTACTGCTCCTTTTGTGCCCAGCCCCTGCGCTGGAAGACCAGCCAGCACCAATCGGTGCCTGGCTCCCCGGCACCTTAGGGTGGCCGGAAGACCCGTGAAGGGTAAAGACGCCGCCTCCGAAGAAGGCGATGACCTCCTACTACACGATAGAGGAGGAGGTGGCCGCAAAGGCCGCAGCAACAGGCCCCCGCAAGACGGGGATGACGACGACATAGGGGACGGCTCGGATCCCAGGTACGAGCAGGGCGTGCGGGAAGGACCACCTTACAAGGTATGCCCCACATGCCGCGTGACCCCGACGCATTGGGCGATTTCCCGCAAGTTTAACTGGTATTGCTTGAAGTGCAAAACGCCAGTGCTGCGGAAGGACGCAGAGGATCCGGATGCCCCTCGTGCCAAGAGGGAGGAACCGGACTGGGAGGAAGAGGAGCCGGACCAAGACGATGATGATGATGATGGCCGCCCTCCTCCCCACGAGTTCGGCAGAGACAGTGCCCCGCCAGATCGGCGGGACGTGAAGAGGAAGACCGCCGCCGAGCCGAGAAGAAGGAAAAGAAAGAAAAGAAAGAGAAAGACAAGAAGGACAAAGACAAGAAGGAAAAGAAGGAGTGCCGAGAGCGCGAGGCCCAACGGGAGGCCGAGAAAGAAGCCCAGAGAAGGCGAGAGGAGGAGGAACGGCGGGAAGCCGAGGCCAGGAAGGAGCTGACGCGAGCCAGGGAGGAGCACCGGCTGCGTCGTAAGACTTTCGAGGGCCTAAGGAACCTGGACCCCGAGACGCTGGAGGAGGAGAAGAAGGAAGGCTCTGGGTCGTACTACTCCTCGTACTCGGAGGAGTCAGACGACGAGCCTGTGCTGCCGCCCACCGCGCGAAAGATGCTTGCCACGAAGTCGAAGGCAGCACCTCCACCGTTTACGGGTGACGACAAGAAGAAGGCCCAGGCTAGGCTCAAGAGGCTTGAGCAAGAGGCCAGGGACGCGCAAATGGCGCTGGAGCTGCAGAGGAAGCAGTACAGCAAGGACTTCGAGAGCGGTGAGGACGAGCCGAAGCCTCACCCGAGGCCTCTTCCTCGGGGATACCCCGAGATGAGCACGGGCGTGCCATCCCGGACGATGGGCGCGGAAGGCCCACGCCAAAGAGGCACCCGTACCGCGAGCGGGAACCAGAGCGGCCGCAGAGGCCAGTGACGCCGCTGCTCGGGCCACGACCCCGAAAGGAGCCACGACCCCCCAAAGGGCACGGCAAGAAGGGGCACGGCAAGGGCGCGCAGGGCGAGAAAGGTGCCTGGCACTGGGTGCCAGATGAAGACGAGCCCCGGAGAAAGAAGCCCAAGGCTAAGGGGAGTGATGACCCCAAGGGCAAAGGAAAAGCCAAGGCCAAAGAGGGCTACTGGGGATGGCTGGACTCCATCGGCTACTTTTGGGTGCCAGCCTCGCAGGCCAAAGGAAAAGGCAAGAAGAAGGACAAAGGAAAATACAAAGGAAAGACGAAGGCCAAGAACTGGCACGGCACTACGGCCGAGAGGACCCGGTGGGTGGAGGAGAGCCGTCGCTCCCCAGGCGGCCCACCACCGGACGAGCCGCCTGATGATGATCAGGACGGCGACGGGCCCCCAGACCCGGACCTGGGCTACGGTGGCCGTGGAGGCTACGATGATGACGACGAAGGTGGCGATGATGACGATGACGATGGTGGTGGCGACCCCTACGGTTGGGACGAGAACTACTGGGAAGAAGGCTACGAGGAGGAGGAGCACACCACGGACCCCGAAGTCGAGCCTCCACCTCCACCGCCACTGCTACCGGACACGTCGCTTCGCGGAAAAAAGGAAACTTCGCCAGGGTTAAAGGGTCCCCCCACTGCTAGTCCCCCCTCGGTAGGAAGGGCAAGCCAAGGCTCAGGACGAGCCTCCGTAGGAAAAGCCAGTAGGAAAAGCTCTGAAAGCTCGTGGGACCCAAGGAAAGGGCCAGCGCCAGGGATAAGATGGCGTAGCGGACGACCGCCGTCTCCGCCGCCATACGAGCACAACCCTCGCGACTTGCGCTCGTTTCCCCGGTGGGAGCGGCGCTTGAGGTTGTGGGAGAAGCGCGTGCTGGCATGGATGCCGGCAGGAGAGGCAGCAATGTTACTCTTGGAGTCGCTCCCTGGCATCGCCGAGCTTGAGTGCGAACACATTCCACTCGAGAAGGTGAACTGTGACCAAGGCATAGAGAACATTTTGTCTGCCCTCCGCGCGCCGCTTTCGGAGAGGAGCCTGTACATGAAGCGGCTCTATCTCCAGGAATGGGAGAACGTCTCCAGGCAGATGAACGAGTCGGTGCGCAGCTATGTCAATCGATATCGCCGCGTGGTCCAGGACCTGCAGTCCATGCAGATCGGACTTGAAGCCGCGTT